GACTACAGTTCAACACAATATCAATGCTGTGTTGTGTCGTAGTGTGTAGTTGTCCAGTCAGACGACTACAGTTCAACACAATATTAATGCGGGGTGTTGTCGTAGTGTGTAGTTGTCCAGTCAGACGACTACAGTTCAACACAATATTAATGCTGTGTTGTGTCGTAGTGTGTAGTTGTCCAGTCAGACGACTACAGTTCAACACAATATCAATGCTGTGTTGTGTCGTAGTGTGTAGTTGTCCAATCAGACGACTACAGTTCAACACAATATCAATGCGGAGTGTTGTCGTAGTGTGTAGTTGTCCAATCAGACGACTACAGTTCAACACAATATCAATGCTGTGTTGTGTCGTAATGTGTAGTTGTACAGTCAGACGACTACAGTTCAACACAATATCAATGCTGTGTTGTGTCGTAGTGTGTAGTTGTCCAATCAGACGACTACAGTTCAACACAATATCAATGCGGGGTGTTGTCGTAGTGTGTAGTTGTACAATCAGACGACTACAGTTCAACACAATATCAATGCTGTGTTGTGTTGTGTCATAGTGTGTAGTTGTCCAGTCAGACGACTACAGTTCAACACAATAATAATGCGGGGTGTTGTCGTAGTGCGTAGTTGTCCAGTCAGACGACTACAGTTCAACACAATATCAATGCTGTGTTGTGTCGTAGTGTGTAGTTGTCCAATCAGACGACTACAGTTCATTACAATATCAATGCGGGGTGTTGTCGTAGTGTGTAGTTGTCCAATCAGACGACTACAGTTCAACACAATATCAATGCTGTGTTGTGTCATAGTGTGTAGTTGTACAGTCAGACGACTACAGTTCAACACAATATCAATGCTGTGTTGTGTCGTAGTGTGTAGTTGTCCAGTCAGACGACTACAGTTCAACACAATATCAATGCGGTGTTGTGTCGTAGTGTGTAGTTGTCCAGTCAGATAACTACAGTTCAACACAATATCAATGCTGTGTTGTGTCGTAGTGTGTAGTTGTCCAGTCAGACTACAGTTCAACACAATATCAATGCTGTGTTGTGTCGTAGTGTGTAGTTGTCCAGTCAGACGACTACAGTTCAACACAATATCTATGCGGTGTTATGTCGTAGTGTGTAGTTGTCCAGTCAGACGACTACAGTTCAACACAATATCAATGCGGTGTTATGTCGTAGTGTGTAGTTGTCCAGTCAGACGACTACAGTTCAACACAATATCAATTCGGGGTGTTGTCGTAGTGTGTAGTTGTCCAATCAGACGACTACAGTTCAACACAATATCAATGCTGTGTTGTGTCGTAGTGTGTAGTTGTACAGTCGGACGACTACAGTTCAACACAATATCAATGCTGTGTTGTGTCGTAGTGTGTAGTTGTCCAATCAGACGACTACAGTTCAACACAATATCAATGCGGGGTGTTGTCGTAGTGTGTAGTTGTCCAGTCAGACGATTACAGTTCAACACAATATCAATGCGGGGTGTTGTCGTAGTGTGTAGTTGTCCAATCAGACGACTACAGTTCAACACAATATCAATGCTGTGTTGTGTCGTAGTGTGTAGTTGCACAGTC